TCTGCTGTATCTACAACCATGCAAGCATTCCATACACTCAATACTTCTTATCTATGCCGCATTTTCACTACTACCTGCTATTAGCTATCTATAAGGGGGCAGGGGGGATTAAGTTTTATAGTTAGTATATCTAACCCAAGGGACCCAAACTTCGTTATACTTATCTCTAGATATCTTGTTTGAGGCTATCCCAGCTTCCATGCTACGTTGGTATTCTATCTGCGTACAAATATCGTGCCAATTTAACGCACCCATTTTCCTCCAATTTCTAGCCATAACTATTTTTATAGCCATACAAATATGGATCATAAGGATTTTTAGTTTTATATTACTTTTTGGCAGGTCTAAATGAAACAAAAACATTTGAGGCGTAATCACAGTCTGAGTCTCGAACACAAAATCCGTCAGTTCCGCTAAAATTAATTTCATAGGTTTCAACTCCTCACAGTCCCACCAGATGTGGGAGAATGAGCCCAACTCCCTACCACATCTCCAACAATCTGGTAGAAGTGTGGGTTGAAATCTGTGAAGACGGGTAGGGACCAAATACCAACGGTATACTAATTTAAAGTATACTTCCTGTATATTCACCCCGTGTATATATCTTTTTACTGCTTGTAGACCCGATAACCACTCCTCGACCGAAGATGAAAAATGAAGTTCTTGCTCCCATTTACTCATTGCTGGCACTTTATCTATTTGCCTTTGGCTTCTTAAAAATTGATTGAATCTAGATACAATCTTTTTTTTATAATGGTATTCTATGAACTGATCTATTGGAGAAGTTTCCGAAAGAACTTTTCCCATAGTAAAAGATTTTATTCTTAAATAGTTAAATATTTCCTTCGAAGGAAGGATATATTTAGAATGAAGTATGGGGAATGGCAATATTTTATTATTATTTACAAGATCCGCTATTCTTACTATTCCACAGTGTACCCATTCTTGGATATTTATATCCTTTATGTAATATTTTAAGCTTATTAATGGGGCATTTAATGAAATATGTTTTGTACCATATTTTTTTTTCAAGTACTTAACGATGTAAATCATTGTATTATTCATCGGATTACTAGATCTTATATTTTTTAGAGATTCACTATCGCGCCACCAGAGAAATAAATGTTCTATATCGCAGAGATCTGCTTTTTCAATGTCCAACCAATTTGATCTGGACTTTGTAAAGTTATCACATTTAATTAAATGTGCAACCATATTATTCTTATATAATTTCTGTAAGTCTGGGAAACAAATCCCCCCTTCTTTCCAGTCTCTCTGTAGAATTTCCAAAGACACTCTAGGTCTCTTCTCTTGCCAAATATAATTTGATACTTGCCTTTGAAGACCACGTATCATCTGGCATGACACCCTCAGTGGGAGATTACCAAATAAAAATGTCAACTTAGGGAGGAGATAGGAGTTTACTGCTTCAATCCTTCCCAACCAAGAGAGTTCTAATCCCTTCCAGTTTTTTAAGGTGTTCCTAAATTGGATAGCAATGTCTGTATAATTAAGTTCTCCAATTTCTCTGTAATCTAGCGATAATTTTACTCCTAAATAATTTATTTTCCTTACTTCCCAGTCACATTTGAAATCTGTTTTGAGTTTGTCTACCTCAGATCCACTTAAACCTTTTATCAAAATTTGTGTTTTCTTTATATTTATTTTATAACCTGAGTGTTTACCATACATATTTATGAGCCGAAATACGGCTGGGATAGATCTAATAGGGTCTGCGAGGGTCAATAAGACATCATCTGCATAAAGTGCAATTTTATTCTCCAACCTATTCACTTTTAGCCCGCTGATGTCTTCATTCTGTCTAATCGCGGCTGCCAACGGCTCTATAGAGAGGATATATAACAGGGGTGCCAAAGGGCATCCCTGTCGCGTCCCGTTTCTAACAGGAAACCAATTTGATTGGAACATATATCCTGATACTTTAGCTTGAGGATCTTTATATAATGCCATTGTACACTCCTTAAAGAAACCCTCGATGCCGAAGGTTTACTTCCAGTTAACCCGATCGAAAGCCTTCTCGGCATCGAGGGTAACCATAGCGAAAGGAGACGAGCTTTGGTTCGCATGATATAAGACATTCAATAGTTTCCTAATGTTATCAGATGTGCCCCTACCCTCTACAAATCCGGTCTGATCTAAATGTACTATATTAGGTATGTTTTGTTTAAGTCTATCTGCCAAAATTCTGGAGAAAACTTTGATATCCAAATTGATAAGGGAGATTGGTCTATAGTTCGAAATGTATGATGGATCCTTATCTATCTTAGGGATTGGTATTATAGAAGCCTGAAGTAATTCTGTTGGAATGGCTTTATGATTAGCAAAATCTTCAAATGTTCTTAATATATATGGTGAAATTATATCACTTAATTTTTTATAAAAAATTGAAGAAAAGCCATCTGGGCCTGGTGCTTTGCCTGCTGTTAATGCTTTAATAGTATTGCTGATCTCCTGAATAGAAAATGGAGCATTTAGTTGACTTAATTTCTCCATCGATATTTTTGGTAAGCTCAGTTTATCCAAAAACTGTTTTGTTTCACCCTCAGGTGGGTCATTATATTTTATATTATATAGGCTTTTATAATAGTCTTCGAATGCTTTAGCTATTTGAGTTGGAGAGAGCATTTTTTTACTTCCGACTGTTATATAGTTTATAGATTGTAGTTTATTTTTATTTTTTAATTTGTTTGAGAGATTTTTCCCTGTTTTATTATTTCCGTAATACCATCTCTGTTTTAATATTAACATAGCTTTATTAATCTTTTCTTGAGTTCTTATTAATATTCTTTCCCTGATCTCTTTAATAACCTCCAAAATTTTGTAGTCAATGGTAAGTTTATGTAAACGTTCTTGTTTTGCCAGATCAATATAAAGCTCGTTAAGCTCCTTTCCTTTCTTTTTTTTTTATAATAGCACCCAATTTTATGAGACATCCTCTCATATATGATTTAAACGTACACCATAACATGGCGTTAGAGACATCCCCTGTATCATTGATTTCGAAGAATTCTCTAGTCTGAGTGCGCAGTTCATCTACATTAGTTTCTGATTTTAATAAATTTTCATTTAGTCTCCATTTATCTCTACACTTATATTCCGCATTATTTTTTATAACTAAGCTTACAGGTGCATGATCGGACCATGTTATCGGTCCAATTGTCACCTTCTTAACTCGCTCCAAAGTTTCCGGCTTAACCAAAAAATAATCAATTCTAGTATATGTCTGATGAACACTTGAGAAGAACGTATAGTCTCTCACTTCTGGACTATACGTTCTCCAAGCATCATATAAACAGTTTTTTGCCAAAAAAGTCTGCATCATTGATAGACCTGTTCTTTGCTTACCGTCTAAATGAACGTTAGGCTTAGTTCTATTCCTATCTATTTTGTTATCTATAGTACAGTTAAAATCCCCACCGATAATTAGGCTGCCAGACGATACGCGGTCAATCTTTTGCATCAGATTTCCCAAAAATCTGTATGGAGATTGGTTTGGAGCATAAACATTTACTAAGGTATATACAATATCGTTGATTCGTGCTATCACTATAAGGAACCTACCGCCCGGGTCGGCCTCCTCATAGATCAGCTCATATTTCACACTGCCTGAAAAGAAAATTGCCACCCCTCTTTTCTTATTCTTTCCTGTCAAATTAGATCTATGGACCACTGGGAATTTTTTATAATTCCATAGTTTAGGCGTAGAGTTAGTCCAGTGTGTTTCTTGAACGAAACCAATATCTATTTTGCTGTCACTCAGTAGTTTATATAGATAGCCTCTTTTCTGACCTGAATTTAAGCCCCTTGCGTTAATAGATAGTATGTTTAATGACATACTACCGTATCTCTTCCCGCCCCTTCTCCCCCTCTAGCCTCCCCTCAGATAGCATCCAACACTCAAATCCATTCATACCTTCCCCATTCGGCCCTATATATTTGGACCTCCTGGTGAAGCCCCAACTTTTTATTACTACATTCAATCCATAATATGAAGTTCTGTGTACAGTCTTCATATTTAACCCTGCTGCCGTCGCAGGACCCTGGGCCAGAATAGTGGGCAATGTCGATGCTCTGTGGACAATTTATTCTTTATTATACTCCCTCTATACTTCAACTTAATCTGCCCTTCTTTTCCCTTTCAATTACTATTTTTTAAATAATTCCGATGTTCTTTCCCTTTATCCAACCCCAAGATCTGTCTACCACTGGCTTCCATTTTATCTTGGACAACTCGACTATCCTTATATTTTTATTCTCAAATGATCCTTTTCCCTAGCTCTTAGATATATTCTCCCTACTCCTCCCTTACTTCCTCCAATATGCCAATTTCATACAAAATTTAGTTAAACTTATAATTATTGTGATATTGTGATATTCACTACATTCATTTCATTCACTTAAATTAAATAATGTATCCATACATATATATGGTGTTTTAAACTCAACTTCCCTGTTCGTTACATTAAATATAAATCTATTATTATTTTCATTATATTCATATGTATAAGAAACCCCTACAACATTCCTAAAACAGATATACACCCTTTCTACCCATATCCAAAGATCTTATACATTTTTTCAATACTTCTATGTGTTATAAACCTCTTTTTGTTCAATTCATGCTGCTTAAATTATCTTATGTGTCTTTATATCAGTTTATCTATTATGTCTATAACTCTGTGTTTACCCCTTTTAACTTTATCACATCTATATAGTGAGAGAAAAAAAAAAAAAAAAGGAGGAGTTTGATTAATTGAGACTAAGGAATAATTTTCAAACTTATCATCTTCTGCTTTAGTGCCAAGTTGTCTCTAAAGATATATGTTTTATCTTTGAAGAAAACCATAATCGCCGTCGGGAACAACCACTTATATCTAATCTCCAAATTCCTAAGAATAAGCGTTTCTTCGGCAAAAGTTCTTCTTGCTTGTCTTGTCTCATAAGATAAGTCCTGATAAACTTTTAAATGTCTCCATTCTTCAGTGTCCAGGATCCCGTTCCTTATCTTCTGCATTATTTGGTTCTTCATCCAAAAACTAGCGAAACAAATCATAACATCTCTTGGATAGGACTTGTCAGTTCCATTTGATCTTGCCAGTCTATGAAATCTTTCAAATGTCTCAGGGCCCAGCGTCTGTCTGGATAATATTTTTGAAAAGAAGTTATTCAAATACAAATATAAATCTTCTTGTAAAATTGATTCCGGTATGCCTCTGACTCTTACGTTGTTTCTCCTTGAACGATCCTCAAGATCAGTCAGCTTGATCTCAATATCCTGCAGTCTCTTCTCTAACTGTATATTAGATGTTTTAATTTGTTCATATTCCTCTTGTACTTTTTGTAATATGTTTGCTTGATTTGAGAGTTTCTCAGAGAGAGTGGCAATTTCCAATCTGATATCTTTAGAGTTGTTTTCAATATCCGTTTGGATCTTTTTATGTAAATTATCCAGCAATTGGGTTAAAAGTTGTTGCGTCAATCCCTGTGGGGTTTTTGACAGGTGTGGTAAGTCGTCCTCTGATATATTTGATAACTGATGTGCTGGAAGTTGGGCATTTTCTAGAGGCAGAGACTTTCGTTGCCTCTCTAGTTCTATGCCTGCAGCTTTGGGAGAATAAAATGAACCAATTGTTGCCTTCTTTTTCTCCATATTTTGGGCTCTCTCTTTTTTCGGAGCCATATGTAGTTCTAAAACACCTAAGTTAACTTTTATACTCCACTAAGAATAACTGTGGAATTTAAATTGCTTGCTTAAATTGCTTTTTCACAATTAGCCCAAGTCTCTCATTTCCTCTTCACTGCAGCGCCAGACAACTGTCTCTTTAGTTTAACTCTTATTTATCAGGTATAATATAAGAATCAGTATATACTAAGAGTATGTTCAATAATCAGTCTTCTGGTTATGAGTATAAGTACCTTCAGTCTGTAGATTTATATGCACAATATCAGCCAAAGTCGTACTTGAAGATTACTCTTCCTCTTCCTCATATATCAGCAAGCTCCAATACCTCTTGTTTGTCACATATAAATTATAAATCAGTAACAGGGAAATGCCTCAATTGTAGCTGCTTTTGTAACCTTGTGTCCTTTACAGCAGCTGCTCAGGCAATTAGCAAACACATGGGAATCAAATGGCAAATGTAGCCGCTTTTATAACTTTGTAGCTTTTATATCTTGATGACCGCATTACAGCAGCTGCTCAGCCAATTAACATACTCATAGCAACTATAGCAGCCAATTGTCTCAATAAATCAGCTTATGTATCAACTTTATAGCAACTATTCAGCCGATTGCCATACCGTGAGAGTCAGGAGTCAGAAGGGGAAAACGAATTAATACCCCCCTATATCCGCTTGTATCTCTGTACCGGCAGCCGCTTCTCCTGCTCATACCTTGCTGATCAAAAAGCTTCAGCGCCGTTCCGCCTAGCGTCCTTGCCTCGTTTAGTTCGCCTGCTTCATTACCCCACTACCTGGCCCCTGGAGACGCGCGGTCCTGGCGCTTACGTGCACGCCAACGTCACGTACCGCCCGCCCCGAGATGAGGCTATGTTTAGAGGGATCAAGAAGAACTGTCTAAACCTTTATTTTCCTTGGGACCAGCCCGTAGGGTCACAACATTAACATTGCTGTAAAAACTCAATAAAATCACAAACAGTCAAACCATAGCAGGCAACACACAGTGACTTATCACAACACAATGGCACATTTTTAAAGGGCACTTTCCCTCCTTTCGAACATGCACATTGAACCTACGGCCCATTTATGTAGCCTCGATGTTGAGGCACTGTATTCCTCTATCCCACATCATAGGGGTATTGAGCATGTCAAATATTTTCTTGACAAATGAGGCCCTGAACAAACCATAGCAGGCAACACACAGTGACTTATCACAACACAATGGCACATTTTTAAAGGGCACTTTCCCTCCTTTCGAACCTGCACATTGAACCTACGGCCCATTTATGTAGCCTCGATGTTGAGGCACTGTATTCCTCTATCCCACATCATAGGGGTATTGAGCATGTCAAATATTTTCTTGACAAATGAGGCCCTGAACAACTAGCACACACTACCTTCACTCTTAAATTATTGAAATTTATCCTATCCCACAATATTTAACAGAAAATATCTCACGTGTCTGCAGAATTAGCAATATGCAAATCCACCTGAATATGCAAATGAACCAGTCTTGCTATTCAGGTAGTGCATATTGCTGTTGCTACCAACAGAGGGCACTAGACAAGCTCCATAGCCAAACCCACCTTGTTGGTAGCAAACCTCAGCAGTACAGGAGAGCAGGCAATACATTACACAGTACACACACACACTATAAACAATGACATTACACACACCCTGCACCTATAATGGATAAAGGGTGACGAAAACATAAGACAAATAAAGCAACCTACATAAATAGTCTGTCTGAAGGTAGAATAGGGGCTTTAAAGCCAAATACATCAAAGAGTCATAGTCACAGGGGAGGAGGCTGGCAAGCAGGCCTCTCCAGGACCAAGTGGTAAAGGGCACTTCGTCACATATCTCCCCTTCGGGGGGAAGACTAACCAGGCACCTGACCTTCTGTCGGTCAGTGCCTAAGTTAGTTGATTCACCCACTGACCATAAGCAAGTGCCAGAGTAGCCCACCCCAATAACAAACAGTTATTAGAGCAGCCCACCCATAGCAAACAGTGACTGCACCTGGGTATTCCTCTGGGGTGATGGGGCAGCACTCTGTGGGGACTTGAGGGGCAGAGGCCAGCGGCGCTCTGCCCTGATGCCAGCTCTTCCGCTGGTATAGCCTGCAGGACATCATGCTCTGGACAAGGGGCAAAGGGAGGGCAGAGGCCAACTGCACTGTGCCTAGCTGCCAGCTCTTCTGCTGGGGTGCTTGGGACATAGTCCGGCTCAGTAGCCAGGGGAACGTGGGGGTCAGTGGGGGTTAACATCTCCTCTGTTAACCCTGGGGCCAAATTAGGAGTTAGCAGGGGAGGGGGGAATTGGCTTACCTCCTCCTCCTGATACTCCTGCGATGGTAGCTGGGGATCTGGACAGGCTGTACAGCATCCCTGTAGGTCAGGCACAGAGACCACGGTACCATCTGCGCCATCTAGAAGATTGGTTTCTCCCCTTGGTAGGGTAAGCTGCCACTGGGGAGAGAAGGGGCTGTGCTCCTCTGCCTGAAACACATGCTGCCGCTGGAGAGGGAGACCGACTGTCTCCACTCCCGTAACATTGTCCTGCTGCTGGGGATAGAGACCAACTTTCTCTGCCCCCTTTAGGACACACTGCTGCTGGGGGAGAATGACAACACCTTTGGACCCCTGGAATTCACACTGCCGCTGGGGAGGAAGGGCGACACCTTCGGCTCCCTGGAACTCACACTGCCGCTGGGGAGGAAGGACGACACCTTCGGCTCCCTGTAGGGCCGGTAGAGAGACCTCGGTCCCATCTCTACCTGCCATCTGGAGGTCATCCCAGGACCAGTCAATGAGGTCTGGTTCTGCTTGTCAGGTAGGTTGGGGCTGCATGAAGCTGAGCAGGTGTTGGTATTCCTGCTCCAGCTCCCACTCCCTTGTTACCAGGTGGGTCATGTCTTTGCTCACCTCGCATTCATCAACCCAGACATACATGCCCATCCGGTAGTCGTTGATGTCCCAAAACCTAGACCCCTCCGTGCTGCCAAGATCAATGTCGTCCTCCAAGGCATCCCATAATAAACCTGGGCCATCATAATCATCCCCCTCCGGTAAGTCGTGCTCAGCCGTCCAGGGGGTAAGTCGAACAGTATGCCACCAGAGGGCCTGGTATGCGTTGTCTAGCCAGATCTCTCGCCATACCAGGGTCTCTAGTCTTGTCACCCAGTCATGCAGGGGCTGCTCTCCCAATAGATATATCCGCATTGCCACACGCTTCTGTAGCCGCTGCTCATCACTGGGGAGACTCTCACCTCGCCGCCATTGGGCATCTTCCAGGGCATCATACCAGAGTTCCTTTCTGTCTGCATCCCTGTAGTCCGCGGCTGCCTCCTCTTCCTCATCATGGAATGCTGTACGAAAACTAGCCGATTCCATCCTGCTGTAGCCAGGGTGCTGTACGGATACTAGCGTTGCCCTCAATTTGTAACTCCAAACATTACCAGTGTTTCCGAGCTGCTTCTCCTCGCACTAGGATGCCATCCCACCGCTGCCACCAATGTAATGGAGCTCCCTGTACTCCAACCGAGTACCCTCCATTGAAGGATGCTCCTAGCACTTCCTGAGGACTCCAAGCACTGTAGCAGACACCACAACCACTGCAGACTCCACAACCGCTGTAGCTTGACTGGAGTCTCGCCGTCTTCCTTCCACCCTGGATAAGCTTCTGTCCTCCAGGACTGTGTGGGAAAGAACTCTTCCTTCCACCCTGTATGAACCTCCAGAATCCAGGACTGTGTGGTGAAGACCTCTCCTCCAAGGAGAGCGTGTCAGGAACAAGCTCTTAAAAGAGCTAAGTGATTCAAGCGCAGGGGAGCATGCAGAGCATAGCAATCCCCAGTGTGATTATAACAGCTCCCTCCAATAACGAGACAAGGCTACATTTAGAGGGATCAAGAAGATCTGTCTAAACCTTTATTTCCCGTGGGACCAGCCCATAGGGTCACAACATTAACATTGCTGTAAAAACTCAATAAAATCACAAACAGTCAAACCATAGCAGGCAACACACAGTGACTTATCACAACACAATGGCACATTTTTAAAGGGGTGGGGGAGACAATTTTTAACAGAAAATATCTCACGTGTCTGCAGAATTAGCAATATGCAAATCTACCTGAATATGCAAATGAACCAGTCTTGCTATTCAGGTAGTGCATATTGCTGTTGCTACCAACATAGGGCACTAGACAAGCTCCATAGCCAAACCCACCTTGTTGGTAGCAAACCTCAGCAGTACAGGAGAGCACATTACACAGTACACACACACACACACTATAAACAATGGCATTACACACACCCTGTACCTATAATGGGTACAGGGTGACTAAAACATAAGACAAATAAAGCAACCTACATAAATAGTCTGTCTGAAGGTAGAATAGGGGCTTTAAAGCCAAATATATAAAAGAGTCATAGTCACAGGGGAGGAGGCTGGCAAGCAGGCCTCTCCAGGTCCAAGTGGTGAAGGGCACTTCGTCACACCTGTAAATATATCCTTAGAGATTCAAAAGAAGTAAGTGATAGCGAAGGTACACATTCCTTTCAAATCACTCATTTCTTTAACTGTAACTCTACAGGGGTGGTTTACCTTCTTATCTGCAGCTGTAAATTGATGTATATTGGCAAAATGTTTCGGCCCTTTAAAGAACGTATCAAGGAACATGTTAGATCCCCCAAGAATCGACTTGATACCAATCTCAAGACATTTAAAGGAACAGCATGGTGGGTCTTCTAACGATATACACTTCTGTGGTCTGGAACTTGTTAAACGTGAACAGAGACAGGGGGATTTTGATAAAATCCTTCGTCAAAGAGAATGCAGATGGATCTATAAACTAAATACCCTCAATCCAAGAGGTTTAAACTAAAGATTTTCTTTCTCCCCATTCATTTGATCTATTTTGTTAATTCACCTTTCTTACTGTATATTAGTTACTCCTTTGCCTTTACATCATATCAATTATTTACAGCTTTCAGACCAG